GATTTTCAGATTATTTTTTATTCTTTTTTACCATTTTTTCTTACTTTTTTTTTCCTTTTCCTTTTCCTTTTTCTTTGTCTTTTTTCTTTTACTTTTTTTTTCGTTTCTTCTCTAATTCCGGCAGATATTCATTCACCGGCGACTTTGTCTAACTGGTTTTTCTTCTATTTTTTCTTTTTACACACAAATTAAACTCTCAAAAAGATTTATTCATAAGCAAAGCAAAATACACTCAGATTTGGGGGAAAAAATTCATCATACGGAAAATCTTCCCACGCCGGAAAAAAAATGATGTATTGAAATTTTAACTGAAAAATTTTTCTCAGCTTATATTAGTTTTTATTTCTTTTGCTCTTCCTCCCACACATAAATTACACTTTCAAGAAAAGTTTATATATATATAAAATAAAACACACTTAGATCGGGATAAAAATCTGTCGCCGGAAAAAATGGTGTTTGTGAAATTCCGACGACCACCATCTTATGCCGCCGGTGACCAAAACAAAAAGAAAGAGAATGAAATAACCAAAAAAAATGAGAATAATAAGAAATAAGAAAAAATGATAAGAAAAAGAAGAAAGAATAAAAAAAAGTACTAAAAATACATGTGGGGGCGCGTGTAGCTCACCACTTGCCAAGAGTTTGGTTGTCAGTGTTAAGGGTGCAAATAATTACATTTAAAATAAGTTTAGGGGGTAATAGGATTCCCGCGAAGAAAAAGTGTTTAGTTGGGAATCCGGGTATAGGTCAGGGGTACTTATGCATTTCCAAAATGTACTACAACATTGATTCAAGACAATTTTAGTCAACCCAACTTTAGATTTTCATATCAAAATGTTGACATGAACATAAGATGCAGTCTATACATGGAAATGTTCTAGTCAAGAGAAGTGAACAATTTGATCTCTGTGATGCTTGTCAAAATGATCTAATACATAAGTTAGAAACCATAACTATCCAAATTGAGAACACGAAATTCACACTACTAACAACAACAAAAACACTCTCCGTGTAAAATAATTGTTTGTCCATTTGAAACTGTGATGAAATTAATCCCCGTGGAGTTAGTGAAACAGAAAACTTGTTCCCTCGGAAGCTAACCCAAAGAAGGAACACTTAAGAAATGGAACGTGGTCAAAGCTCAAATCAACAGCGTAGGAATACTTCCCGTATTTCCACTTGATGCCACCACCTCCTCTCTGACCCTGGATATCGTTAGTCTCACGTTTCTCTTCTTCACCAGAGACTCGCTCCAAAGTACCAGTACCTACATCAGATGATATTTTTGCAGTGATTCTTGCCATCATTGCACACCTGGAAACCGCTGCCTCTGACTTCCTCGCGTTCTGATATGCTCGGAGGCCATTGTGCAACTTCTTGACAGTACCACAGAGCCCCTGACGAACTCCTAACATGCCCAAATCTTCATACTGAACTAGTGTGATCTCACATGCAGATAGGTGTCCATCCCCTTTCTTTGATTCCTTACAAGTGCACACTTTAAGTAGATCTTAAGCTATGGTGTCCTAGACAATTGGCAAAGTTGATTTATCGTTTTGTACATCCACTAGAAATGGCACCACTTACCAGGCTTAACAACCCAACTTGTAAAGTACAGGTCTACACACCTAGGTTTGTCTCGCCTTTGAAAAGCTCGAGAGGGTGCACCCTGCAATAGATTTCATGTTACAGATGTACACAAGATAGATGACTACATAGTTTCCCGAAAACATAAATGATGACACATGATGTGGGACTACATAGTTTCTAAAAGTTATACATAATGACGATAGAATAAAATAAGTGAACAAGACAAGGAGCAGTTTTCGGTATCAAAATGAGTAGGTAGAACAATCGAGTTGACTTCAGGGAACTCATGCAAACAATATAAGCAGCAGCTTCATAAGTCCTAAAGTCCATGAAGGTCTGAAAATCTTAAGACACAAGATGAAAGCGCAGTTTATCAGACATCTTTGGAACAAAGACATAGTTCACTTTGTATACCAAGAGACTCCGGAAGATAAGAAGAAAATTAACTAATTCTAGGGTAGAGATAAGCTTTTCTTGATAGAAAAAACTAAAAACCAAAATATAGAGCAAAAACGATGAATATGGTTTTCCAAATAGAGATAAAAACATTCAATTTGATAACAATCAACACAACTTTGTACCACAAAATTCATTATAAACTTGGTATCTCGGTCATGGAAAATTGTAGAGCTGACATAAGTATAACATTTAAAATTGAAATGTGGATACGTAAAGTACCAAACGTGTTGCACCTACCACAGAGCTCGTCATGATCTTTCCCTTCCAAAAATATTAAAATAAAACAGTAATTTAAACACACATATCCCAAGTTCAAGAACACAAAAACAAGCTTTTTCATGTCAAATTGCAACTCTCAAATGATCGTCTGGAAACAATGAAACAGCAAATGTTTCCTCAGAGAAAGAAGGCAGATATCATAAAATCAAACTCAAAACAAGTGAATTTAAAAGACTTTCCCTTTTTAATTTGGTAAAAAGGTACTGAAGATATATCCAAATGGCAGCAACCCTTAAGAATATGTGTCAAGCAATTCTAGGAGCCAGGTGTCTTTACCATCTTGAAGTTGCAGAAAATGATCCAGATCTTTCTCTGCTACAACGTCCTGATCTTCTGACGCTCCACCAATATACCTGCAGGAACAATCTAGCACGTCTAAGACTTTATAAAGGATACAAGTTCATTGACAATGATAATTTATGCTGGTCTAAAGGAAGCACTTGAGCAGAATAAGAATTTTTAATTCAACAACCGTCAGAAAAAACTTATACTAAGGGCACTCAAACAGAGAGGAAACTTATACTTCGATAACACGGTGGATGCAACACGAGGACATCCTAGGGGGTCAGACATCCTAGTCCTACTCCAAAGAAAACTTATACTAAGGACGCTACAAGTAATTTTTTCAGTTAATCAACTAACAACTATCTTTATACGAATCTAGAGAAGAAGAAAAACATTGATTTCCAGCAGAATGCTAAGTTAGAAATTAACCAGGACAACTAGATCTAGATATTCACATTTCAAGCATCCTTAAATAACTCGAAAATGACAGACCGTCAGATCTTTTCAATAAATCACTTGATGCATTTACACAAAGAGAAGTAAGGGTGCTAAATTTACGGTCTGTCATCTGTAAATACTTATTCCCAATAAATCATTCGCTGCATTTACATGAAAGAGCAAGGTGATACTTCAATTACAGACA